CCGAGCCTTGAAAACCCATCTATTCCATGCGGCCGGCCTGGCGTAGTTTTGATTGGGCTTTGCTAGGGGTTTTATATGGGGTATTTTAGAGCAGGCTTTTTATTCAATATTTATTGTGATTTTTATTATTGCCTGTTCACCGCCCTGAGTCCCGTAAGGGAGATAGGGCGGTATATAAATTTAAATAATAAATAAATAGAAGTACATGGTGTGAGATTTGAATGGCATAGATATTTGTGGTAACATAAACTTAATATGGATTTCAAAGATCATTGTTAGATGTGCCATATTGAGACAATGAAATAGTTACAAATTCAGGTTGTGTCTGAACATATTTTTGTGGCTTATCATGCTTTCTGAATATGTAAAAAAGCTAAAAAAATGGATTTAAATATCTACAAAGAACCTTAAAGATTATCATACAATTGAGACCAAATATTTTTCTTTGGAGATTGATGGATAACAGTTGAAAAAAGTCATGAAATTTTGTTTTTGTACATAATAACCTCAGTGAGATTATTGAAGTTGAAGAAAGTATTCAGAAAAATGGAAAGAATCAGCAGTACCCACAATGAAGCAATAGACGGTAAACATAATGGAACTTACTGAGATGGCAAATTGACTTCTTTGATAAAAAAAATACAATATATATTTATTGCTGACTGGAATATTTTTGCATAAAACAGAAGAAATGAATGTATGATTCATGGCTTTGATGATTAGACAGGATAGATCATAGACAGAAGAGAGTTACGTTATAATCACTGAACAAGAGGTCAATTTATAATTGTACTTATATCTGCTGTAAAATACTTTTTCTTACTTTATATTAGTTTGTATTAGTTTTATTATGTGTGTGTGTGTGTGTGTGTGTGTGTGTGTGTGTGAATTATGTGATAGTTTTAAATATCAAACTATAATTTTAAATTTTAAATTATATGAAGAAAAAGTATATGAAGAGATTAGGTCCAGTCAGTATCTACTTGCTGCACTGAATTCTGCAATCCCCTTGCTGTACCGAATTCTTATCAAAGGAATGAAAATATGCATCAAGCTAAAATATATCTGGCTTGGAACATAGAAAATGTAAGTACAGCTAGTGGAGATTAAGAATAATCTTCCCAATATTTTTCTAAGACCTGAACTTTTAATCTTGGAAAACTGCATGCAATTAACATGCCCTGGACATAGCACCCTTAAGTAATAATCAACTCGTATTTCAATGTGGCTATTTCTTTTAAGAGTTAGTGGTAAAAAGAAACTAGGTCATCAAAGAAAACAGTGCTGGACCCCATCAGAGTTGATACTAGCCAGTGTCTAGAAAAACTCAAAGAAGTAGTGTAAGATTGGAAGATATGGAGAAACCTGGCCCATAGAATTGCGAAGCGTTGGACATGACTAAATGGATGTCGTCATCATCATCATCATCATCATCATCATTTCTTTTACGTTAACATAACAGTGAAGAAATTTTATTAGTCTGGAGTTCATCCATTGAAATCATACATTGCAATGGCTATTATGTAGATCTCAGCAAAGTCTAATTGTGATAAATCCAGCCACATGGCAAACAATTAGGTATTACTGATGAATGAAGGCAAATATATGTATGCCAGAATAATGTAGCAGGATACCATCTGGGTCAGTCACCAGGACCAGAGATTTAGCGTTCCGAGCTTTCAGACTCGTGTTGGCACCCATCATCAGGGCTAGAGAGAAATTCCCTGAAGATGGACTCCAGCACAAGTCTGAAAGTTTGAAAGACAAAACCTATAGTCCTGGTGACTTACCCAGATTGCATCCTGCTAGGTATTACTGAATTTGAAAAACTGAGCACTGAGAAATAGACTATAATAGGACCCTGAATCCCTTTGTATTTAGAAACGGTCAGAATATATGTGGGGATGCATCTGCCAGAAAACTAGTAAATTTAATATGTTATTTGCTTGCATTGCACAGCAGATACAGACAATAGCTGAACAAGACCAGGAAAAGTCATAGCTATCTTAAAGAATTTCCAACAGGTGTTATGCCCTTGAATATGTCAAATCACATTTTTCATATTTTCTCCTTTTGGATGCAAAGCACTGAACATCTGTTGCTCTTTGACCACAGGAAAGAAGAAAATAAGCAGAATATATGTAGATATGCAAAAGATGTACTAGAATTGTTAATTAACAATTGTTAATTGTTAATTGTTAATAAATTATTATTATGAATCAATACAAATTCTTCCAAAATTTAACATTTATTTTAATATTCCATATGAAGTAAATCCTCTTCAGAGTTATTTTTTAAATCAAGATGAAATGGATCACCAAGTAAATACTCTTCTAAATGCAAAACTAATAAATTGCTACAAGCAAAAAAAAAAAGTCCATTGGTGACTCTACAAAGAGCAGAATACACGAGGATTCACAAAATTAGTATTTTAAGATCCCGTGTGGCTTTTAAAGTATGTTCTTAAACAAACATCATCCGAAGTCCAAAACGATAAGGTTTATATTACCATATAAAGTTATGGAGAAGTAAAGTCAAAGCTTAAACTTCAGTGGTACTTACTTGATCATCATAACTTTCATTGAACTTATAGTTAATGAAGCTAGATTGGGAAGACTCTTGCAAAGTAGTGTAAAGCCTGTCTCCAAACTCATTTTTTTTTAAAAAAATCTTCTCATGTTTATCATTTGTACTTATTTAACCAATATACTGATTTCCTTCAAGAAAAGTTGAAAATGTCTTTAAAAAAAAGATAAAGTTTAAGCCTCAGCTATTTTTGTTGGGTATTATGGAAAATTTGGATAAAAAAGAAATGGAATTGATGTTGAATTTGATAACTGCTGCGAGATTATTAGTAGCTCAATGTTGGAAAACGGATTGTTTGCCCACTATAGAAGATTGGGCATTTAAAGTTTCAAATTTAGCAGAAATGGCTAAGATCTCAGCCTATGTGAAAGATTACCCACAAGAAATATATATATTGGTTTGGAGAAGATGGATAGATTATATTGAGAATAAATATGGAACTAAAAAGTTTCATTTGGTTTTTGAGTAAATTTGCGATTGTTAATGTAGTATATTTTATTAAAATTAAATAATTTGTAATAATGATGTTTAACATGTTAGTTTAGGAGAGAGCTAAAGGATGTTATAGAATTGTTAACTTAAGGGTAACATAATTTAAGACAGAGTATAATTATTGCATTGTAAACCCTGTGTGTAGCTCTGGGAAGTCGGGGGGAAGGGAGGGGGGTGGGGAAGGGCGAGGTTTGAGGGAGGTGGGGAGTTATATTGTAAAACTTTTAAAAATTTTCAATAAAAAAAAAGAAAAAGAAAAGTTGAAGAGGGAGAAAAGCAGCCTTTTAAATTGCTGCTGCCTACACACAAACACACACAAAACAGAGGAAAGGGAGGGAGAAGCACTGATAATCCATTTGCAAGTCCCTATGAACTGCTTGATAACATAGCACACAGTAACCAAGTCTATTTGACTTACCCATTAGTCTACTCAAGGCAGCATTCCTGGTGGGGGATTCATTGAGGCCTTCAACCCCACTGTACAGTGAATGGGAAATCCTTCGCTCCCGGTCATCCATTAGTGTCTCAATAGGCAGCTCCGGCCCCAGAGGACTCCCAGGTGATTCCAACTGCAGGAAAAGGAAAAAAAAAATCCCATTTCACAGCAAGATGAAACCAAACAAAGCACCTTACGTTTGAAAACGGCTGGACATCCAATAAGCTAGAAATTCTCAACGTGGACTTCAATTATTTGCATTGACTGTGCTGCTTATTGACCAACCATCTAGTCCAGACATAATATCTCCCACAGAGTTGCTCCCACTCTATTTTTGTTCAAAAAGAAACACAGAAAAACAAAGTGCAATATTTTAATTTATAGCTGAACTGCAAGACAGCAACCTTGCATGTCTGAAATGGTATAGGGTTTCCTGCCTGAGCAGGGGATTGGACTAGATGACCTCCAAGATCCCTTACAACTTTTTATTGTTGTTGTTGTTGTTATGTTGGCCTGATCTTTCCCTTCTTCATAAAAGGGCAGCAACCAACAGGTTGCAGAAGAGAAAAAAGGAGATTTTTCTCCCTGTAAATAATAGAATCAAATAATCTCTCTGGTCATAATTAGAAATATGGTTTCAGAGTGCTTTTCCAGTGAAGCAATATACTTTCATATGCAATCATTGCATAATCAACACAGATTAATAAATAACTATAATGTTTCTAACTCTACCATTATTTCAAATTACTATGGTTTTCTACTTGAAGTAAATCCTGTCATTTCGGTTTGGCAGTGGCAAAGTAAATAGCTATAAGAATCTTCAGTATTTCTGATCCTAAACTGTCAACTTTTCAGAATATTATTATTATTATTTATTGAATTTATATACCGCCCTATCTCCCTTACGGGACTCAGGGCGGTGAACAGGCGATAATAAAAACCACGATAAATATACACAAATTTCTGTTCTAAAATCAAATTAAATAACAGGCCTGCTCTAAAAATACCCCATACAAAACCCCCACTAAAACATAATCAAACTACGCCAGGCCGGCCGCACGGAATAGATGGGCCTTCAGGGCTCGCCGAAAAAGGCGCAGGTCCACAACTGTACGTAGGTCGGGGGGTAGGTCATTCCAGAGGGCAGGAGCTGCCACAGAGAAGGCTCTCCCCCGGGGGTCACCAGCCGTCATTGTCTGGCCGACGGCACCCTAAGGAGGCCCTCTCTGTGGGAGCGGACTGGTCGAAGGGAGGTGTTTGGTAGGAGGCGGTCTTGCAAATACCTATGGCCAGCATATCTATCACTTCTGTTGTATTCCCACATATGAATTTTGCCTCTCTTTTTCCCATCCCTTACAAGCATTTTTCAAAGGTCCTTGCCCAGCAGGAAGTTACAACCCTGCGTGCTTTAAAGATGGAGAAAAAAGAAATACATAGCAATATTAATGGTGGAAGAGGTGATAATAAAACAGCTTCTTTCATTGTTTTGCCTTTCTAATTGCCTACATACTACATGTTAATATTACAATCATTACAAATGCATGACAGTGTGAACCACAGGGTCACATACCCCACAGGCATTATCCTTTGAAAAGCGTAAATATGGTTAAGATTCGGATCAGCACTAACCCTAATTATGCTTGGCACTTATCACCTCATACTATTAAATAAGATTGAGTTTCATTCAAAATCTAAATAATTCTTCATTGAAGCTAACCAGTTGAAAATCAACTAATGTTTATGCCATGTATTTTGATAAGGTATCATGAGAGAAATCATGTCAGTTCTTTGCAAGATCAATGGTTTGAGCCAGATTCACATGAATTCAAACGAAGCACAAAATGTACAATGTGGGCAAATGAATATAAGCTCAGAAAATTTGTTATCAGTTTTGGCTAAATGAACATGGGGTGGTGTAGATAGCAAGTCTCTTTATTGTAGAAAATAAAACAGCTGTAATAGTTCTATGTTCTTTTCCCATAACTACTGTGAGTCTTCCAAAAGTTTTGCACTGACTTCTTTTGTAAAGTTTGTGTCAAAAATATAGTTTAAGGTTGTGCAACTTTTGCATTTCTTTAAAAGATGCTACAAAACATGCAAGGACTTTATATGAGCTCCACTACTACCACCATAATTTTTCTAGATGTGTGCAACTGGTTCAGCTACCTTCAATTATCCCTATATATGTGCACATGCAACATTCCACATCACATTTTCACTGATGCAGAAGGAACACACACACGTCTAGTAGGTGTGGCTTCCAAAACAAGGATGCAAACTAGAAAAAGACATGGCTGATTTAATAATTTAAATAGGAAACACTTTCTATATGCTTCCGCACCTTTGGAAGCAGGTCTTTCAAGGGATTGTCACTGCTCTAAAAGAATATTACGTAACAATACTCTATTTATTGCCTAGCAGGTGATTGAAGCAGGGCTGTAGTAAGGGGGAAGTGGATTTATAGTTGGCTCACATTGTGGACAGGTCTGAGTCAGAACAATTAAAAGGAAATATATAAAGTATTCTTTTTGTACAAAGTTACATCTATTCCAGCAGCCCTAATATTTTAGGTGCTAGGGACTGGTTCCATGGAGGGTGTTTTTTCCACAGACTGGGGGGCATGGTTTAACGCGCTGCCTGCATCCTGCGTGTGCATGGATAGGGCTTCATGTCAGTCCGCAGACCAGGGGTTGGGGAACGCTGATCTATTCGATACGAATGAGATATTTAATGAGGTTCTAAATGGTAGCCTTATCTTTTCCAGTTTGATCAGACCTGAGAAAATGTGTTGCAATGAAGGCTAAACACAATTACAATTGCAGGTATGTTAGATTGTAGAAAAATAATAAACTTGCCGTGAAAGTGGATTAGACTTAATGAACTTCATAGTGTGAACTGAAGATCTATTTTTTCCCTAGTTTCTTTCCTGCCCTAAATTGTAGATTATAACTGACAGCTCAGGTGAAAAGTAAATTAAACAATATTCAACATCTCTGATGTAAAAGACTCAAAAGCAAATTTAAAACAAATTAAAATATTACAATTGTGAAATGCTGTCCATGAAGAAAAAAAGGGAAATGATAACCAGGACCTAAAGATGCAGATCAAATCTACTGCACTGATGAGCTCTATTTATATTTTAACTTTCTTCAAAGAGTGAACTTTAGCCCAGACATGAATTATTTTCCTAGGGAGACAGAACGTCAAACGTATACAACAAAAATCTAGCTATTTTTTGAATGGTCATCAATCATTCAGAATGATGCAGAATAAAAGTTTAAAATATTTTCGCCCACAAACACCAAGAAAGAAGCAGCTTTTCATCCAATAAAGATATTTACTGGCAAGCTTTAGTATCCATAGAGCATAAACAAGATAAACAAAAGCATTATTTTTTAAATTGCTCTGCTTTACAAATGAGTACGCAAATGTGGTACCTCTTTCATGGGAAAAGATACCATTCAATATCTACAGTAATTAAAGTATAAAAAGCCAGATTCAAAGCAAGACATCAACTATCAGCCACACAAATATTTAACTGCTTTTTATGAACTAACAAAAACATTTTGGAAAGGAAACAGAAAACTATATTCAACTTTTTAAAGAAGCACTTTGTTGTTGTTTTTCTAAGTAGGGTTTACATAAGTAAAGGATGGCAGGTTCTACTGAAAGGGGATTGAGGGAGGGAGAGGGAGAGGGAGAGGGAGGGAGGGAGAGAGAGAGAGAGAGAGAGAGAGAGAGAGAGAGAGAGAGAGAGAGAGAGAGAGAGAGATGAGAATAATTAATTGACTTCACTCTGTTGGCAATATTATAGAACTTTTTGTTTGAGACTTTTCCTTGCAAGTTATCATACATTCATAGCTCTTAGCATGCCGAAAACCAAAGTATTACCTAGAGCTTGCTGAGACTACAAACTATAAAATCAGGAATATCACTAATAGGTGATTATAAGGAGACTGGGGGAAAAAGGGGGGGAGAAGCAAAAATAGACATAAAAAATTAAGAGATAGAGGATGAGTCAGTTGAAAGCTTATCTCAAAAACATCAACCCAGGTGGAGAAAAAAACTGGGAAGATGCATTTTCTAACCATTCAAAGAAACTCTGCTTTAATTAATTCAATAAAAATGAGTATGGAAAATTTCCAGGATTCTGAATTTACTGCAAAGTAACATTAAATCTATCTTACTGAAATCTGCATAGTTTCCTTTGTGGAAAAAAGGACTTTAAAATTTTTTCTTACTATTAGAACATAGAGAAAAAAATTAATGAATTTGATCCAGTACAACTCAGGAAAATTTAAAGAATCTCAAAAACAATGGTATGATTTTAAAAAAAGTAATTACAAGACTAAGATAATATTTGATAATATTTTATTGTTAGACATTTGAAACAGAGGAGAAAAGGAAAATTTTATAAATTTTATAATAAATCAACATTGCATAAGTATCAAAGGAAAATGTTCAGTCTCCTACCAGAACTTAACTACTGTTCTTGCCCAGTTGTGTAGAACATGATATAAAGTGTTATATTAAATTATCTCTGCTTTTGCCCAGTGATATCAGATTTTTATAACTCTAATCCAGATAGACATGGCATAGCAGAAGCTAGCAGTGCTTTCAAATACTGCACAAATATAATTTTGTGCAATAAACATGGACTTAAAAAATAATTAATTTTGAAAAGTAGAATACTCAACATTTTAAAGTAAAGATAAAGGTTTTCCCTGTCCAATTGTATTCAACCCTAGAGGAGATTGTCCAATTTTACCCTACTTCATACTCCTAAGAGTATGTGCCAAAAATCTTATAAAATCTAGTGCATGGCAAGACTCTAAAATGTTTTTAATTTTAGAATATTTTTATTTTTACAATATTTAGTTTGGGGATTCTGTAGATACTATCTGGAGTTGCCACTGTCCCTTAATATCAGTTAGCCAATATAATTATGTCTCTTAGCATGCTTCTCACTATATCTGCAATTTATAGTACTTTAAGTACTACTGAAAAATATATGTGGAGCCTTTTCCATTTAAAAAAAAATTGGTAATAAGAATGTGGCATTATCACATAACATCATTCTATCCAGTCCAAATAATGTTATAAGAAAATCATGTAAAGGCTTTGAGTTACCAACAGAAGAGTATATGTGTAGCTCAGGGTTGAACTGTGGGGGTCCTTGGTGCTCTCTGAACTTGGTAATTTTCTTGCAGATGTTTCATTACAAAAATAGGTAATATCATCAGTGCATCATTCTAGCACTGATGTCATACTTAGTTTGGTAATGAAGTATCTGCAAGTAAAGGACTAAGTTCAGAAAGCATCACGGACCCCAAAGGTTTTGGACTGTTTGTCTACCTATTATCATAAGAACTGTTTCAAAAGAATAGGATCAAGTCTGCTGTGAAAAAGAAACTGTCACAGGTAAAACTGAGTTCAGAATGTCAAGTCTGGCAGTGGCCAGAGAGAAAAATATCCAGAAAAGTTTCCCTGCATCCCTCTAGGACAGGGGTGTCCCTGCATCCCTGCCGGTCCGCGGGCTGGTTGCATCATACGGAGAGACCCCGCCTGCACCAGCTCCAGCAATGCAAAAAATGTCATGATACGTCACGACACATCACATGACATGGCAAGTTTGACACCTGTGCTCTAGGACTTGCAGCTGGGCAGTTCCCTGGTTTGCTGACCACCTCCTCATTCTAATTTGTCTGTCTCACTTCTTAGTTTTATAATAAGATGACCAACCGTTCTCCTTTAGGGAGGACAGTCCTCCTTTTGTAAGTTCTGTCCTCCCTCGAAAAGTGTCCTCCTACATGTCCTCCTTTTCAATATTTGAAGACTAATCTGCAGGGATTTTTTTTCTCATAGAACGCTCAGAACGGCATTCTGGCACCTTTTTTTGATGGTTTTTTTTCAACTTTTGCATGAGCTGTGCTACTCCCGCTATTGGCTTTCGAAAGCCAATAGGAATTGCTGCTGAGCGCACCAAAACACCCGGCTGGCAAACTTTGCACATGCAAGTTGTCTGTATTATTGTTGCAATGAATAAAATGTTTCTTTTATTTATGATATTTTTTTCTTCAATTTATTTGTGTCCTCCTTTTCATTGTAAAAAAGTTGGTCACCTTATTTATAAGTGGTCCAGAGTAAAATTACTCTTAATTTTTTTTATTAAATTTGTTAATTACCCCAATCTTAGGAAACAGAATTTCATTGCTGTGGCATTTCTAAATGTCTTGATATCTTAAAATATGGATTTCTTACTTATAAGGCTTAAGCTTTCTACTACTCTACTTTAAGTGCTGCTACCTTCTGTTCTTTTCAAGCTGTTAGAGCTAGCAAGAAATACAGCCTCAACCACAGCTGCATTCTCAGCCACTTGAATGCCACTAAAACATAATTATACAATCCAGACTGGTACAAGCTTGCTGTTCACAACAGAGAAGGGGTTTTTTTTGGTCCTTATGTGACAATGCCATACTTTTTTAAAAGGAAACAATACTTCACTTTTTGCTCTTTTATCATCCAGGTAAGAAAAACCTGCTTAAAAATGCAGGGTACTTGATAAATAATGCCTGTTACCCTTGTAGCTAGCTTAGTTCTTATCTGAAAAAAATACTTAAGAGATAGTTAAGCAGCCAGAGACATTTCAGCAATATCACTGCCAGGAGCTTCTATTAATAATATATGAGAAAATATGTTCCTGGAAAAGCAGTTAGTGAAAAAACTAATCTGCCTTGTTAGCTTCCTTTTAATTAGCATTTGTCTAATGTTTAGCAGGATGAAAGCTATAAACATTGACAAATAAATATGTTGTGAAAGAAAACTTGGACTAGAAATATGTCAGAGATGGTCATTTTAGAAGCCATTCAATTGGTCCCATTTGGATTTTCAGAATCAAAGCTAAGATTTTTCAAATGAATACATGAGATACAAGCAATAAGACAAAGTAATAAAACAGTGAAGCAAAGAGTCATTTGAAACATTATCAACCTTCATTCATTTATTAGAGCAAATTAACTTTCCTTGGCACTCTCTTCATAATTTGAAAGAAGTTTTTTTAAACATGGTATAGAAAAGATCTAAAATATAATAATATATTTCTATGATCCTTCTTTAAGAGTTTTTCCCCTTTTATCATAATATTTACCACAAACATTCCAATTTAAATCTCAGACTCAGTAATCTCAGTAATATGATTACTATAAAAGAAAAAGTAGCTCCTTAGTTAAATACACAAAATGGAATTTTTACTTTCTCAACAGCTATGTTTCTCAAAACAAAGTTCCACCTCTAGCAGCATGGTTGCAAATTTTCCTCATGCTTCAAAAGTCCAGGCTTACAAAATTACAACACTTGGAATCCAAAATGTGTGTGTGAACAAGTATAACATAATCTTTTGTGTTATAGTTGAGAACCTTGATAAGACTCATTATTTTCTAACACTAACCAAAGCTAGTAGGATGTCAATCAGCATAAATAACAATTTCAATTTCAAGATCTCTGGGATTTTTCAGAGTAAAAAAAATTGCTTTGATGCCTTGAGGAGATGATATTGCTTCTCTCTTAATAATGCAGACTAACTTAAATCAGCTTTTCATTGCTGCATTTCAGATCTCAAATATTTTATTCATACGCCCTTAAATTGGATAGAGCCTTGCTAGGGGTTTTTTGGCACAAAGTATAAACTCCTCACTAAAAATGTTCTTTCTGAGATTGCATAAGGCTGGAACCTACAGAAACAAGGCAGGCAGCTCAAACAACAAATGTTTGGTTTTATGAAAGGACAGAAACTTTTTTTATAAAAATACTAAAATTTATTGACTGCCATCTTTTCTCAGAGTAAGTGGTTAGTAAATCATTGTAATCAGCGTTGAACAGATATTTGTAAGAAGTTCTGCCAAATCTTGATAATTTCTTTGCCATTCATTGATTCTCTACAAGTAATTAAATGTCTTGAACTGGCCTTGAGAAAATGCATTGAATTATATACAGATTAATTCAGGGCATGAATGTTTCTTTCAATGATATGTTTCTTATAATATTTGATATTAGCATATGTATCCTCATCAGCAAATAGAATACAACAGTAGAAATGCTTATTATTGTGAAATTATACAATGAAATTAGATAACCTTACACTATAATGTGCATATGTTGCCCTTGTTATCTAAGATAACAATAAGAGGTTTTGGAGATTTGGAGTCTAGCCCAGAACTTACAATCTAGGCATATATATTTATGTGTCCTAATTTTACATTATTCAAGTTATAGTAAAAAGCTAAACAATCTGTTGTTATCATATTTGCAAAACCATGCCATTAAAACTAAAAAACCTCAAAATGTGGTTTAACAATATATTCTGAATTCTGCTCTTTAGCTAGTGGAACTGTACTTTTCTCAAACTGGTAAAATCTGTAGTTTTTGATGATTAATATCATAATCTGCTAACTTTGCCCATGTTGCTGGAGGTGATGAAAGCTGAATTAAGACATCAAAAGGATCTCTTTACCCATGCTGAAGTATATATGAAATTCACTTCATTTTACAGAAGATGCATCCAAAACCTTTCAAGAAAACATAGGTAAAATATCAAACACTGTATTTCTGGAGTACAATTCTTGAATTATGAGGAGAAAAAAGCAAAGCTATTGAAAGTTATAGTCTTCATCTGCTAGTCCTATCTTATTTTAGACAAACTATCTTATAGCATAGCCTTCTAAATCTTTGGCTAAGTGTGTAAGCCCCACTCTTCTCTTCTATTATTCAAGACTTGACTAATTTTAATGTTTTCTCATAAAACATAAACTCATAAAATGTTCCATGTTCTCAATCCATCATAAATATTTAGACTTTCCCAGCCAAAATTGTGTATTCCTGAGACTAGCTTTTAGAACCAAGAAGGACATGCAAACTTACTTCAAAGTAGTTTCCTTTATTGTTCCTCACCTACAGACAAAAATCTTGCCAACCTGAAGCAAAGTTCTTGCATCATTAACTTCTTGGGATTTAACCCCTTGCCTCTACCCTCTTCCTCCCAACCAAACTATCTAAACTTTGCTGTCTCTTTGTCCTCTGGAATGTAGCCCCTCCCTCCTGGAAATCCAGATTACTTTTCATTATAGTAGCCCATGAAAATGCAATAGAAATGAAGTTATATTCATTTCCATTTGGAGACTAACAACAATCCATTCACTTCTGACATGGCTAAAATGCTTTTATTTCCTGTTATTGGAAGGTATACTTCTACCTCTGCTATTTTGCTAGAGTCACAATGTTTCTTACCTCATTGCATTTGCTCACTCGTCTTGCAACAATCAGTTGAATCATTCCCCGTTTATTTCCCTCTGTGGACATGGACCTACGCAAAGTTTCCATGGCATCTTGGTTCGTCTTTCCCAACAATGATTCTCCATTTACTGCGATTAATTGATCATTCACTCGGAGTCTTCCATCCTAACAAGTAAAAGGGAAATTGAGACATTAAAGGTTTTTTGGGGCTTTAGTAATTTAACAAAACAGAACAGAAAAAACATAACATAAATTATGATTTTGTCATGCATATGTGTGTGTGAGAGTATGTGTGCGTGAGAGAGGGAGGGAGGGAGGGAGACGGAGAGAGACAGACAGATAGAGACATTTTACATAACAGGTTCAATAAAAGATGACCATATTTTATCAGAATCATCCAAATATAGTGCATATAGTGCATATATTCATTCATAAATTGCAAATAATATAGATAGTCAATTCATTGGGTAATCTTTCCAATGTTGCAGAATTAATCTCTTGGCAAAAGTAAGGCACAGGGCATCCACTTTCATTGTACAGCTGTCAGTTTTCATGTAGTACACATGAAAATAATGTTCAAAATAATGTGCATGTTCAAAAATATTACATGAATATTTAAATAGGAACGTTAAACTTTCCCTTAAAATCAAATTAATGTATATAATAACTTTTATCAAAACATAACTTTGGAACATTATAAAACATATGTTTTAATAAAGCATTGTTCTTATGGCATCTCCAATAATTTAATGATCTCCTAATATAGAAGACTTAAGACAACTGTGACTTAAATTTCCCTTGTTAAGCAAGATGGTTAAGTGAATCACACCCAATTTTATGATCTTTAGATGCAAGTAATTTCTTATAACTGAAAAAGTTATGCAAAGAAAACTTAATTGTGATTTCACAGATTATAATCCTGACATGTGTAATGAAATCAGTTCATCACATTTCTTTCTCTTCTTGGCCCTTCTTGCTTTGAGATAAAGGTCAACTGTAAAAAGAAGATGCTGACAGAATCTCTTGCAAGATTTCTATTAATGTAGCTTTACAAAAAGTAGAACTGGTTGATATGATTTTATTTCCTGTCTATGTAGTAAGGGTGAAATCATAAAATTTATCAAAACAGGATTCTCCCGCCATCTTTTTCACAGCCCATACAACTAGAAAGAGTCCCGTCTGAGTTTCTTGCCCTAACCATTTTGCTGTGCTGCCTCCCCTATCTCCCTTTTCCCACATACCATTACACATTCTGACTGGGATCTCCCTTATATTAAAGCATGCTGAATTAAAGCATGCTGGTCACAACAGCTAGATTCACACTAATTCATAAATCATAGCTTATAAATCAAAATGGTTACTTTTCCCCAATAGTTTAAGCCAAAATCGACCAAATAAACTATTACTTACTACAATATGAGGAACAAGTTCAGACAGATTCAATTCCGGGAGACTCCCAATTCCTCAAATTAAAACCCTTAGTGTTTTGCTTTAGCAAAAGCATATTATCAGAATGGACATGTTGTAAACCTAAACTATATATTATTATATTTAGAGCATCCGAAGTGCAGCTAGCATTTGCTGCATCATCATCATACTAATTATTCAAATGGAAAACTGGGAAATGGAGGAAGGAACGATGCATAACAGGAAATCAATAGTGGATTGCCTAAGAGATGCTGGATTATGGAACATTATCTGACATGTCTGAAATACACTTACCTTAGAAGCTGCTCCACCATTAATAATGGACTTCACAAAGATGCCAAGGTCTGCATGATTCTCTTTTGACCGGTTACCTTTCACACTGACACCAAGTCCAGCTGACCCAGAATCATTAAGAGGAACCTCAAAAGTGAGGAATTCTCTGGTGCCATCAGCAGTAAGAACAAGATCTTCTTCTTCTGATTTCTGTTAGAAAAAATTCAACATGGTATTATTATTAAAAAAAATCTTGTTTCTAATTATTCTTAACTATAACTACATAATATTTTGAAAAATGGTGGCAGTACAATGCTATTGCTGTAATTCTTATTAACATTCTGTAGGGAAATTTGTAATAATGGTACATCTGCCATCAAATAATTTCTAGAACCAGATGTGGCAGTCTGCATGTGTAAAAACAAGAGGGAAAAATGGCTGTGTGTATGAGAGAAAGAGAATATATGCACACAGATTTAAATGTGGTACTTTCTGGATTATTACAAAATACAATTGCTTAATTTCCAAACAAGAAACTATTACTGGATGCATTAAACCTAATGTTCTGCAAGTTCATTTGCCCTTTGAAATAGTGGCATTTGAATATCTATGTTTTCTAAGCAGCAAGAAAATTACAAACAGCAAGCAAATGGATAAATACCAATTAGTCATTTGCGTAGGACTATTAATAATATTCAAAAAAATGGCAGAAAAAGAACACCTGAAATACAATCAGGTAAACAGAAAGTTCTTTTACTCTGAGTACCAAAGAAATTCTATGCAACACACTACTGCCATTATACTTTTCTTCTGTCTACTCTCCTTTCACAACTGTTCTCTTTTCACACGCTCTATCTTTGTTCCTTTCAGTATGCTGCCTTAGATCCAAATAAATAATAAGAGATATCCACCCTTCTGTATATTGCATACAGACAGAGGCATCTAACATATAGTGACAAAGATAAGATTATGTGCCATTTTGCTACTGTATTTTACACATTAAACGCTCCCACAAGCTACATATTGTCATCTTGTGAATACATTTGTGTTTGGGCATGGTAAGACCTGTGAGCAATGATTAGCTGCCTTAATAAGGAAACTATGCAGATATAGCCATTAAGATGTCACTAGATAATATCAATGTATTTATTTAGGAAACTTATATATGTCTGAAGTTTTCCAGAATAGGTTGGACTGCAATTGCAATAAATTCCAGTTGCAAATTTCATTTGGATTGAATGAGATGGAAAGGAAAGGGTGGGATGGGATGGGATGGGGAGGGGAGGGGAAAGGAAAAGGAGGAGAAGGAGAAAGAGAAGGAGAAGGAGAAGGAGAAAGGGAAAGGTAGTGTAAGGTAGGGTAGGTTAGGGTAGGAAAGGAAAGGAAGAAATGTTCTATTTAAAGAAATAAAAAATGAGTCAGGGCTTATTTTCTTATATTTAATATTGTTTAAAAAATAAGTTAGGCACCACCAGAATTGTGAAATATGGCATTTGTAAACCAGAAGTGAAAAAGATAACATAATAACTTATTTGCAATCACTTTCATTTGATCTTGATACGCTCTAAATTAAAAATTTCTTTGTGTTAATAAAAATAGGTTGATAACATTTTGGCGATTTAATGAACTGCAGAAGAAATTTATTGCATCTTGTTTTACCAACAGAAATAAAATAAAACATTCCCATCAATTTATTTAGTGCAATGACTGAACAACAAGATTCAGTTCCCTCAAGAATACTACCATAACACATCTGAAATATTTAGTAACTTCACAATACTCTGCTCAGAACTGCTGTTCTAAAGAAAAAGTCACTTCAGCTGAATGAAGGTGCCCAGGTATATAATTTGCAATAAAATTAGGTGAGTGATAAAGCTGTATAGGTGACTTATTGGTCTTAAACTCAAATCTCCTATTGATATACATAGCTCTGGAACAGTCTTATCCCCCAGCTCACACCAAAGAAAGCCCACACATTTCCACATTCACTCCATGTTACTTTTGCTTTCTGTGCCTTGTTGTATTCCTCTTATCTTTTCTCCATTCTTGCTTGGTAGCCTTCCCAGCAGCTGAAATACTATTGATATGTAGGCAATATCAGTCAGAGGGTAAAAATAGCATGTCCATGCTGCTTTGTCATTTTCAACTGAAGTAGTAGACATTAGGCTGACAATCCATGTTGTACTCACACAACTTTTTAGTTGCTAGCTTGCTATATGACAAATTCACCCTTATAGAAAAGTTTCTATATTTTCCTGTCAAAGCAGAAAGCTGCAAACATGTTTCCAAATGGCCATAACATTTCTCATTCACTCAGGAAGATGGCAGATACATTAAAGTACTAATGAAAGAGAAACCTGTGTGGACAGAACAGATTTTTGGCACACTGGATCTGGCAATCATTGAAAGCTGGATATTAAGCAAACACTGACCAATAAATTGCATGAACCTCTTAATATGCCATTTTGAAGAGAGAAAGAGAATCAAGCTACTATGCTGGGTGTATGACCATAATGAACATTTGATCTGACTAACCAGGCAAGTCATTCAAAAAGGTAAAACCATAGTTTAAAATAGTGACATGGATTTTTTTTTTATTTCTTGCAAAAGCTATTAGGCAAGCCAGAACCAAGTTGCACTGAACACAGTTCAAATCCTTTGCACCCGTTGAAGCAGAATTTGAGAGGGCAGGCTGCAGAAGACAGGACAGAGTTGAAACAACATAAATCCAATATATGAGTTGAAATGCAATTATTATCAGTGTACGATCTGTCTTTCTCTGGAGAGCTATTCTCTCAGCATAACCTACTTCACTAACAACTACATCTCAGCCTAATTTACCTCACAAGTCTGTTGAGAGGATGAAATGACAGCCTCAAGTATATCTGTCCTGTGGAGAAGGGTATACAAATGTGATAATTGGATTTTTAGGGGATAGTCTGGGCAAATCCAGGCTTGTAATTCTCCTGTGATATCTATACCCCAAACTCTTTGTTTGACAGGCAAAGCACATGAACAAAGCTTGTGAGATTTCTACCTTTTTTTTCCTAGCTAGACTTCTATGACTTTACACTCAGGGTATACTGACTTTGATTTGTTCTGGCAGAATTCTCTTCAAACGGTACTCAAAGTTATAGAGGGAATGGTTCTGTTTTGCTCAGAATATTCCCTGGCCAGAAAAGGCGTAAGATTTTTCCATCTCAAAGTGCCTCCCAAGGTGTGCTGCATTACGATTTAAGTTAAAGATTGTCTTCCTCTTCTAGCAAGGATTTATAGTGACCCCATGAATTCTAAATAAAATCTAATAAGTCATACAGGGTACTTGAAATAGATACAAATGAGAGGAGTGAAAGCTTGAACAAAGGCTTGCAAAGATCTATCTTGATACCAAGGCATAGCAGAACTTTTGGTGACTAAAAGTCATTCTGGCTCGGAATTTGGAGGATTATAATCCCAACCTATGTGGAAAACATTAGGCTGAGAAAGTTAGAGAGTTGGATATTAATATTCAAGTTCCTGCTACTTCAGAATTTTAGACAAGAAATAAACAAAATGATTATTGATAGTCTTCAACTTATGACCACAATTGAATCCAAAATTGAGATGGTTAAGTGAGACATTTGTTAAATGAGTTTTGCCCAATTTAAGATCTTTCTTGTTCAGTGAATCACTACAGTCGTTAAGTTAGTAACATGGTTGTTAAGTGAATCTGGCTTCTCTATTGATTTTGCTTGTCAGGAGGTACAAAAGATAATCACATGACATCAGGACACTGCAACCATCATAAATATGAATCAATTGCAAAGCGCCTGAATTTTGATCGTGGAAGTGCTGCAATGCTCATAAGTGTGAAAAATGGTCATAAGTCCCTTTTTTTCAGTGTCATTGTAACTAGGAACAATCATTAAATGGGCTTTTGTAAGTCAATGTGTACCTGTAATGTATCATGAGATACTAGCATTTTGCCAAAAGGAACACAGAATAAAATCAAGAGAACAACTGGTAGGAGGATAAAGATTATACTTTCAATGGTTGTCTTATTTACAATTCGCAGAAAGATTTATAGACACAATTATGACTCCTTTTGTTACAAATTATTTTTTTTAAAACTGGCTAAGAGTGCAATGATCATTTTTGAAGAAGTCCTTCTGGAATTATGTAGGATGGCAACTCAGTATGATTTATTTCTTTTTTTGTATAGATTTTATTAGTTTTTATAGGGTTAGGAATAAGGAGGGGTCGGGGTTGGGATTTGGATCAGGGTTCGGGCTAGGGTTTTTCCAAATAACATTCTCAATATTTAGCAAACAGTATAATGTCTGGGTTCATGTGTTTAACAAACAATAATAGATAATAGTTAATTATCATAAACAATATGTTAATTAATCACTCAATAGCCTACTTCTTGCTAATATATATTCAAAATTACATATCACATTCCTTTCTCTCTAACTTGTTTTTCTAGCCATTGATAGAAATTATCCCATGTTCTAAAGTACACGGAGTCTTCTTTCTCTTTTATTTTTAAAGTCAATATATCCATTTCTGCACACTCTAGAATTTTCTTAATTAGTACTTCTTGAGCTGGTAAGTTTTCATTTTTCCAATGTCGGGCAAATACAATTCTTGCTGCCGTTAGTACATATAGTATTAAATATCTGCAATCTTTCTCATAATTTGCTCCTATTATTCCTAACAAAAATAATTCTGGCTTAAAGTCTATTTGTTTTTTAGTCATTTTCTCCAACCATTAATGTATTTTAACCCAAAATCTTTTTGCTTTAGGGCATGTCCACCAGATATGATAATAAGTACCTGGTCTTTGTTCGCATTTCCAACAGTTGTTTGAAGTATTTTTAAACATTTTTGCTAATCTCACTGGTGTTATATGCCATCTGTAAAACATTTTATATAAGTTTTCTTTATATGCCACTGCTTTAGTTAATTTAATATTTCTTTCCCATAACTTTTGCCAATCTTCTAATTCTATATTATATCCAAAATTCTTTGCCCATGTTATCATTGTTTCTTTTACTTGTTCTTCCTCCATCTTTAAGTTTAACAGAAATCGATAGTTTCATCAACTTTTCATCTGTTTTTAGCAGTATCTGTTCTTTATAAAATCCCATTGTTTTAATATCTTTTTTGAATTTGCAGATATGGCCACCATGCTAGATCAATACCTTGTTCTTGTAAATCTTGTCTGTCTT